GTATCCACCTTTAGGCTTTGTTTGGTTGAAGATTAGAAAATGAGAGAAGAAAGATAACAGAGAAAAAAAGAGGTGAGAAAGAAAAATATAAGAAATATAGTAGATTTTTGTTTTATTTGGTATGAGAGAAAGAGAAAAGAAAATATAGATGTAAAATTTTGAACGACAAAAATATCTTTAGAATAAAAATAGTATGAAAAAGGTTAAAGAGGTTGGTTTTATCATTTCACTTTCCCTAACACTTTCTCCTCATACATGAAGAGAAAAATTTTGGTGGGTCTCATGCACTTTTTATTTATCACGTAAAACAAACTTAAAGACTTCTATAATCAAGCAAGAGATATTTTACATTTGTGGGCCATATTTGAAAATCACCCATAGCCCCACTTGTCTTTTTGCAATTGCACATCCATTTTTCATTCATTAATAGACTATGACATCCTCTTTAAATTCATCATCAACAAAGTTGAAAAAGAAGCTAAGAGAAAAACTAATGACAAGAAAGAAAGCAAATTGTTTGTGTTTTTCTTTCTATTATTTTATGTTTGGTGTTTGAGAAGGGGAAAAAACACAAGCTAAGAAAATAAATATTTCTTTGTTTGGCATAAAAGAAAAGTTACTAGCTTTTCCATATACTCTAAATGGAGGAAAACTTTTAGTGTATCCTCCCACACTAATTTATTCTATCCTCCCCTTTTTCAATCCATTCAATACAAGAGATATTGCATATGCAAATAATTAAGTTGGATTATATTCCGATTTTGAGATAAAACTTTAACATTTATGAGAATAAGAGAGTCCAACTTCTTTATGGTTGTCATGAGACAAAAAAAAGTCTTTAAACCATGAGTCAAAAGTAACCATTCATCTGATCTGACAGACTTATATGTGAATGAAGCATGTTGAGAAGTTAATATTACATCGTCTATCTATTCTCATAAGCATGACTTAAATATATGTTTTCATTACCTATTCATTTTGATTTTGAGATGAAACCTTAACAATATTATTAGAAAATACTATTAGTTAGAGTTGCAAAACACTTATATAAAAGTATACAAGTTACAAACCACACCTCAAGGGAGTCATAAGGTGGTTTGTTGGTTAAGGTGAAAGACTTAAGGAATATGGTCAAGGAGGTTGTGGGTTCGAATATCACCCATAGCAACTTTAAAAAAAAAGAGTTATAAGGTGAGTTGATGATTAAAGCAATGTTATTAAAACCGTACCGGTTATCAAACCGGTTAGGGTACTGGTATAGTGGTTCAACCAGTGGTTCAGTAATTAAACCGCATGCCGGTTAAACCGGACATACTTGCTTATATATATATATATGTAAACCTATAACAAAAAATTTCAAATAAGTAGATATTCATATTTATAATCCATATTCATAATTTACTTCAAATTCACACAAACAAACAACATTAAGTCTTTAATAAAATCAAAGTCTAAAGTACAAAACATATATTTATCCAAAATTATCACTTAACAAACGCAAAATACAAATAAATGACCCAATTATCAATCATTGAAGTTGAAGAATTGGTGAAGAATTGAAAATTTGAAATTTAAAAAAAAAAAAAAATTAATGTATAACATACGTACCGTACCGGTTAGGGGTCCGGTTCACCGGTTTTCCGATTGAACCGGCCGGTACGGCACGGTTTTCAAAACTATGGATTAAAGAGAATGGGTGAACTGAAGGAGGTCTTGAACATTCAAAAGTTGTGAAAACAATGGATGGTTGAGGAAAATCATGGGCACCACAAATTTTTGTGCTTATCACCTTGACCTACCATGATTGCAAAACACCCTTTTGGAATATTTTTAGTTATCACTTCTTGCCTTATATGGTGGTGGTGATGATAATATGTAATAGGTAATTGTTTAAAGTTTTTTACTCCACTTCCCAACATTTGGAAACAAAGATAAAATACAAGTTTGATATAAAAAAAAGACCAACAAGCACCAAAACTAATAGGGAATGAATGAATGGGTATTACTTAATTAGTTGAGAGGGTTTATATTGCAAAGTAAGGAATGATTGGTATCAACTATGAAAGTAGCAATGAGAGAAGAGTATAAAGTATATCCTCATACTATGAGATAACTTACCTCCTACAGTCAGTAAAAGAATGACATGTATATTGTTTTGTTTAGTTTTAGAAATATTTTTGTCGAAAATGATTAAATGGTACACATGTCACAATTTTAGTGGCTGAATGAGATAATTTATCTCCTTATACCAGGAGATACATTATTCTTATAAAAAAAATGTGATTCCAATCATATGGTGACAAAGAAGTTCATAAGGGTGTGGACTTGGTCATTTGGAATTGGAATAATACATTGGTAAAACTAACACGTCCATTTGTCCATTTCTTTATAAATAAGATGTTTGTTTTGGAATCTAAGTGTATGAAATATAATAATTTATGAAGAAATTTTTGGCATACTTTGATATTTTTTGGGACTTGGTCATTTCTTTACTTATGCAACATATCCAAAATCATCTAAAAAAACAAAACACAAGTTCAAGTTCTCAGGAACTTGATTGTTAAAATTACATATTAAATCAATTTAGACAAGTTCTTTTTTTAGTAGCAATACATACAATCTTTATCAACTAAAAAGGATAATTATTACCCCATCATTAACCACTACAATTTAACCATTTACATATGAATAAAAATTACATAGATTTGGGTACGTGTTTAAACAATGGATAAATGATAAAAATCTATACACAAGTCACATATAAATCATGTTATTATAAACCATAAAAATTAAAAATATAGTGTATATATATATATAGGAAGAGAAACACTAACAAATATAGAGCATGCAAAAAATGACAATAAGGTAGAAAACCAAAAATGGGTAGGAAAAGATTAATGGGTGAGAGAAAAGATGAGGTGGGAGTGAATGAGTCAGAAGAAGATGTAAGTGAGGGATGAAAATTAAAATGAGAATCAATTACCATAAATATTTCATATTGGTCCTCTATTTTTTGGGCTATGAGAAAAGCAAATTGGACTTTTAAAGTTTTGTAATGCCCAAGTTTTTAGTAAGTAGCTTCAACCTTCAATGGGTGGAATGGATTTAATTTTTGGTATAACTAAAGATATCTTATTACCGTTAAAGAATTAGTCTTTTTCAGGGTGTGTGATTGTCTCTTCTAACAAGTGTTGCTCATAAGAATCGAACTCTTTACCTTTTGGTATATGTGAGAGTCTAGAGAAGCTTAACACTAGCCTCTCACGAATTTTAACATAAGGAAATCATGTGTATGATTCTTTGCTCTAAGAGCAAAAAGGCAAATTAGGGAAATACATCCTTACATACTCATTTTGGGGAGTACTATTTCTTATTAAATAAAAAGGAACCTAACAAATGTTCTTAAGGACATTAATTAAGAAACCAAGTTTATGGAAAAATGATAAAGTTAATATTTCAAAAGAGATTTTTATTTTATTTTATATACTTGTCCCTTTTTAATTTTTAATGCACTTGAACCTTATGAATATCAGAAATATTTGTATGGAACACTATTTTCAAGGAGTAATATCTCTCCTCTCATATTCTCTCCCATTGTCCTCTCAAATATATAATAAGAGTGTAATATCTATACATTGTTAATATAAAGATTTATGTCTAATTAGTACATTATTCACCATTCATTTAAATTAATTTTTTTAAAGAATCAATGATAATTAGATATGAATAGTAAATGAAATGATTCTTGCTTACACCTATTCATAATATTATACTTTAACACCAATAGATCCACGATCCGTGATACTAAACCCGTATATGGTACTCGATTTTATATGGTTCGTCACTTTTTATATCATTATCCTAAAACCTCTTTTATAATACATGATCCATGGTATGTCGAATCTAGTACTCAATACATAGGTTAAATGAGATAACTTGGTAACACTAGATTGAAATAAAAAAAACAAGCATACAAATCTATATTCATTAAAAGCTACTCCTAACTCTATTTTCTCCTAGTACTTTAATGATGTAGCTTTAAAAGTACCTAAGCAAATCAAGATGTTTTATACATCATTGATCATTGTTTCATTTAACAAAAGTAATATTGAGGTAACACACACCTTTTGAATTCTTTGACTCTTATAAATTTGTAGTATCAGCATTCAAAACACTTCAACACTTTTCCTTTTCAATAGAACACAATACCATGATCCTCTAGATCCTTTATATAGCTTCAATGAGAGATACAATATTCAATTTATATGGAAAAACTCTATATATATCCTTGTACAATTTTCTCTACACATTCACATTCTACTTCTGAATAATGAATAAAGATATATACTACATATTTATAATATTCATTTAATAATAAGAATATATAGTAAAACTTTATAATTTAATAAAGTAATATAATGGGGACTCTCCTCTTTCTTCTTCTTCTTCTAGGGTGGAAACCTCTGCTATAACTTATAGTTATAGATATATATTTTAATCACTTTTAGATCCAAAAATATATACTTTGAAACCCTAAAGAGAGAGAAAGACAAAAGCAAGAGGAGCTACAAAAAGGTATTGTGAAAAGGAGAGAAATAGAGAGCTGAACTCAAAAGAAGTTAGATCTGAGAGAAAATATGGCACAAACATAGATTATGAGTAGAAGATCAGAAGAAAAAGGTAATGATTCTGACAACAAAACCATCATCATTATAAGAAGAAAAATATGAAGTAAACTAAAAAGGAGGTAATGATGAAACTTTTTGTACAAGGTTAAAATTTGGTCAAAATATTTCATCATTACACCAATCTGCATATACTATATCATTTAGTTACTCTTAAAAACAAAAACCCACATTTCAGATCTACCTATAATTAAGGTGGAAATTTAAAATGCATAAAAAAATAGAGGGAGAGATGAACCAAACCTTTACTAGTTGAACTTACACTTCTCATCACCATTTCACAAGAGGTATATATATGTAACCCTGGAACATATAATTAAGGGGAATGAAGCCTGGTCCGAGGACAATATAAAACCATCGGTTTAGAATATTTTATCTTTGGTCATCAGATATCCTTACAGATATAGTTATCTGACTAACTCTCTAACCATCAGTTCGGAGAGTGGATAAATAAATAGAGATCGGTGAACATTATTAAGGTTCCTCGAGCCAAACAACATTCCCCTCAAAATACATATTCCTAAATGGTTTCTTTTTTCTTCATCATCACATCTTCAATAAACCCTCACTTGAATGGCTAAGACCTAGGTCCTTATTTTGTTTTTTGGTTGTTTTCTATCTCTCTATCTATAATATTTTCTCTATCTCTCTCTTTTAACATTAGTTCCCCCACAAGTCTTGCCTATGTTAAAGGGAAAAGAGATTGAGAGAGACATAGAGAAAGAAAGGCATTGAAGGATGGGTTGTGAAGATAGGGTAAGAGGTATTATAAGAAGAGTAAAAAGAAGAGAAAGAGTAGAAGCCAACGCAGTAAAAGACAAAACACTGGTGTAGGGTAGACCCTACCACTTGACTTATCTCTCACTCCTAGAAAGAAATGACCTCGCTGCATGTACCTTTTTCCTTGTTATATTTTATATTTTATTGGTTTAAGTACTCAAATATAAATTATATAAGAATGATTTGTGTGAAGATGTATGTATGTAGAGACAGCCAATGAAATCTTGATAATACAATAAAAATTAATTTTACTTAAAATTTAGTGCTAAATGATAACACCAAAAAACATATAATACATTTGTCTTCAAATATAACATGTTGTATACGTCTCAATACAAGTTTTTCTCTAATATAAAAATTATATTACATGTGTCTCACAATATGATACAAAATATATAAAAATATAAAAAATTGACAATCTTTTTAGAATAAAGAGAGAGAAATCACTAATTTTATTGTACTCATGTAAGACATATTTATCTAGTTTTCATAAATAAACCAACTGAAACTTATTTAAATGATTTTTACACCTTAAAATAAAAAAATTGATGCATAAAAATAAAACCAAACTGCGAGTATTTTGTTTAAATATTTTTAGTAAGGATATGGATTAAAAATCATCACTTTTAAATTGAATTTAGTAAACATCGCCCTTATTTACAATGGCTAAGAAAGAAAGAAAATGTAAAATCAGTCTTATAAATAGAAATTGCACAATTTTCGTGCTATAAACTTAGATGTACCCTTTTCGTCCAATTTTTTTTATCAAATGAGCTGAATCAAAATACATTTTTCTTAAGGACATACAAAACTTAATTAAAGTACCATAGGTGCTAGTGATATATGTGACCTATTAGAGAATGATACATATACTTTTTTGTATACTTTCAAGGTCAAAAAATGTTTGAATGTAAATTTAATAAATGTTCATTCTTTGAAAGTATACAAAAAAGTCTATATGTCATCCTCTAATAAGTCACCTGTAACACCTATGGTACTTTACCTAAGTTTTATCATTTTCTTAATTCCTCCTATAGTAAGATCTAGAGTTGAATGGAAGGTATATCTCTTTTCCAATATCATGTCACATATATACGTTGTTCTAGAATAATAATAATGAAGAAAAAACAACAATGATAATAAATATTTATAATATTAAATTAAGATGACATATTTTTATTAATACAAGAATACGTATGAAACAAGATCTTAAGTCGTGATACAAGCATTGAATGTGCAGCAATGAGGACACCATGATTTGGTTGGCATGGGCATACGATGGTGCAGCTTCCATAGTCAACATTCATGTTTGAGACATAGAAAGAGAGAGAGACAGAGAAGCATTGTGGACCGTAGGATTGAGTGTAAGGAGAAAAACAAAGGCAAAGATTAAGGAAAAAAGAACAACGTTGTAAGATATAGACGAGTAAGACTCATCTCCATTAATGAAGAGACAAGTGCTGTGAAAAAGCAAAGGAGAGACAATATATATTGACAATTATATCTTTTTTATTTAAAATAAGATTACATTTTTACCCTTAGAATACACATGAAAAAATTATTTATCTCTCAATTAATGCAGAAAAGTCTCAATCCATATAGACATAATGATGGTTGAAATAATTGAGATGGAAAAGGCATCAAAAGTAAAAGCTGACCAACAAGTGAGTCAGAAGAGTGGTTGAGTTATTCACCTGCCCGATAATAGAAACCCTATTTAATGATTATTTTTGTTTTTATTGTTTTGTTATTTGTGCATTTTTATTTATTTCTCTTATTGGAAAAATTAAAAAATAGTATAGTAATAAGAAAACAATAGCCTCGTTTCGCGTGTTGCTTTTGAGAGAGGAATACGAGGCACTTGCCGACACAGATGGGGTTCTTTAATATGGATCACCTGTCCTAAAATAATATCTCAACTCTGAACTAGCCAATCCGATAATGAAAATAAAAAGTCACCTGAATAAATATTTTAGTAAATGGTGATATAGATTTTTAAATGATATGAAACAATATTATTTTATGGGATAGAGTTTGAGACATCATTTTAGGACAATTGATATCTCTCCTTTATTAAGTAATTAGATTATAAATAATCATATATCATTTTCCCACGAGAAATTGATATAGGTCAAGAATGTGATATTTTATTTATTATTTTTGTAGATAAGATGATTAGTATTAGAATATATCATTACTCTTAAATTAATACTATAAGTTAATATTTAATGAGTGTAATTAAGTTAAATAAAATATAGTTTATTATGGAAATAAGTCCAAATAGTATGAGTCAATGTTTCTTCATTATTTGTGTTTCATAATAAAATGCTTAATAATGCTAATGAGATGTTTAAATGACTTTTATATTATATTGTAAATAGCAAAAAATAATGAAGAAGTATTGACTCTAATACTTTGACTTTTCAGTGTAATATACTTATTTCTATTTAACATATTTATCACATCACATTTTTTTTTAAAATATTATATTTATCTAGTAGTTACAGTAATATATGTATATAAAATAATGATGAATTGTGTATGTGTAAAAAACAGATGAGTGATTTTTTTGGAATAAACCGGTAGGGGGTACATGCCAAACTCCCGCTTTCCTAGCTAGGTAATTTCACTAAAACTCTCACGGTAAATATATTTATTTATTTTTTATTTAAAAGTTAAAGAAAAAAAAATATTAACTTTGGTTTGCTTTCTAATAGAATGAGTTGTGCTTAGTTGTGCTGAACTAAAAATATGAGTTAGGACTCAATTGTGCAATAATTATGTAGGATTTAATATTTATACATTAATGATATAAGAGTTTTTTTTTACATTATTTGTATATTATTCATAATTCATATATTAATTATCAATCATTTTTAAACAAAAGTATTATACATGAATGATAAATGATATGATGATATAATAAAATACTTTACATAAATGATTTTAACCCATGAATAGATTATGTATGGTTTAACTAAGTTAACTCTTCAATCTAAGTCTTGAGAAATTGGCATATATAAGTGACCGAGTATACCTCTTTATACACTTTTGTTCTCATCTACCATTTTTACATAACACCTTAAAATTTTCTGTTTCACATTTCTATTTTATGGAGAGAAAAGCAACTTGACCAAGGTGACTAGAAAATTAATAATTTAATGAAAAAAAACTATTGACATTAATTGGCTTTTACTAGTAAAATAGTACGTGAAAGTTGAAACAATCATTTCTTGTAAACTCTATACATTGTTTGACTAATGATTTATGCATGCAAAGTTAACACAAACTATTGATTTAATTTATAGGGTTATTTTTTCGGAGTAAGCATATCTTCATTAATGGAGAGTCAAATACTACAAAAAATAAAACAAAAATAATGGTAAGACTTTTTTATACTTTTATATATAATGCAATAATTGGTTCGCTACGTCTTTTTAGGTATCTTTCTAGCAAAAGTAGAGTTGTAACTTGTACTTAAAAATAGGATAATAGTTGATATTTTTTTGTTTTTATGATTTTTAATACTTATATGTCCTATTTTAGAAGATTTAGTTGTCCTAAATATAATTCATTTTATAATATATTGGTAGTATTAAATAACTCGTACCAAATATATCATCAATAATTACATTGTATTTTTTATTACTCTCCATTCACTCTTTCCATGATAATGAATATATAGATAGGTAATCTTAGAATATTAACATATTTTTCTATAAATTTGCTAGGGATAAGTTTTACCATACATATGTGAATTAGATTAGATAGAAGTAAGTTATAATTAGGAACTACATGCAAAGAAGACACTGAAAACAAATAAATAACAGAAATAAATTTTTATGATATCAAATTACAATTCTCAAAATTTATATTTATATACAAATAATACGATTCTAATTACTAATTAAAACTGGTTTTATCACACTTTCTTTCCCAATATAGTTTATTTTTTGAAGTCCTAACTTTCAATCATTTTTAAAAGGAAACACATGCACCACAAGATTCTTGTCTTTGCACTAAGGTTGAAAACAGAATATGTGGCTTATTCTATTACTTCACCTTTTTAATAAATATTCCTTAAACTTTTGATATTTAAAGTGATATAGATAGTATCAACAAGGTGCTGCTCTAATGGTATAAGGCCCTACTAATCTTTAGAATAACTAAAATGTCAGATGTTCAATTCCTGAGAGTAATACTTGTTGGAAGAGGCAATCACGTCCGAAAAAAATTATTTCCTTATCCAAATGGTGAAAGAATATAATTGATAATACCAAAAAAGTAATATACATAGTTAATAAATAATATAAAATTTTAATATAATATAATTAAAATAATCATATTTAATATACATTTAAAACTGAATTAAAAAGAAATAGAGAAATGAGATTAAAAATAGAAGTAATATCTAAGAATATAATTGGTATTGAATTTCTAAAATTCGAAAAGATTGGAATTATATTAAGAAGTTAAAACATAAAAAAAAAAAGAGACAAACAGAGTAAGTCATTCCAAGATTTTTTAAAATGTAGTCTATTTAACTTAAGATTTTAAACAATGAAAAAAGTTTATTAGTGACCCTACTTAATTATATTTTATATTTATGTTACATATTTTTATATAGCTAAAATAATTTTATTTGAAATTTGAATATAAAAATGTAAATTAATTGTTATTGTTATATAAACTTATTAAAAGAATGTTTATTGGCTTATTGAAAGGCTTAA